AGTTCCGACTTACATACAGATTCAACTTAAGAACAAACCTACAGTCCCTATCTTGTACGTAACCCGGGGACTGCCTGTATCAGAAAAACTACCTTAAATGGGGCCTGTGTGTTGTGTAGTCTTGCCTTAATCTTTGTATTCATGCTCGTCAGTGAAAGCAGATATTTGCATATATTTGCATGTGTATGCAACCACACTTAAGTTGTGGCCCTCAGCATGTGCTATGAGTATCATTGTAGCCCCCGGGGCTTCCAAAGTTGAGTAGCCCTGACATAGACTTTAGTAAAGCATTTGATATGGTCTCGCATGACCTTCTGATCAATAAACTAAGGAAATACAACCTACATGGGGCTACTATAATGTGGGTGTATAAATGGCTTGATAACCATTCTCAGAAAGAAGTTATTGTTCACTGTCATGCTGGAAATGCATAAGAAGTAAGGTTCCATGGGGGTCTGTTTTGAGACCAGTTCTGATCAATAACTTCACCAACGATTTAGATATTGACATGGAGAGTACACTTATTGAGTTTGCTGGGAAGAGTTGCAAATGTTTGGAAGATAGCGTCATAATTCAAAATGATCTGGACAAACTGGAGAAATGGTCTGAGGTAAATAGGATGAAGTTTAATAAGGACAAATGCGAAGTACTTCACTCAGGAAAGACCAATCGGTTTCAGACTTACAGAATGGGAAGCAACTGTCTAGGAAGGAGTACTGCAGAAAAGGATCTAGGGGTCATAGTGGACCACAAGCTAAATGAGTCAGCAATCTGACACTATTGCAAAAAAAGCAAACATGATTTTGGGATGCATTAACCGAGTGTTGAGAGCAAGACGTCAGTCAGGTCTCAAGGATGCCAGACCAGACCTTGTAATCACAAATCACTGATGATCTCACTAGTGTTTCTCCAGAAGGCTTGGTTTGAGTCTGACTACATATTAATCATGTGATTACCACCATAGTGGCATTTTGTAGACAGGCACATCAGATTCTTTTTTTTTTTTTTATCTGGTGCCCATTTTAACCACAATGACAAACTTGACAAGCCTGAGGAAATTTTTTAATTAGCCCCCATATACAAACAAGAACTGCTTTTGTCATTAGGAAAAAAGGTTATTCTTATAGCTTCAGATACTCTTCCATTCTAAATTTTTCTTTCCAAAATTCCAGGGAAATAGGTCTCCCATCATTTTGTTCTAACCCTTGGAAGCTTGTGGAATAAATGGGCATTCTTACAGCTCTAAAGATACATCTCAAGCTTAGGCATATATATGCCAGTTGTATCCTGTCTATTTCATTCTGTCCAAAATGCCAAGGCCATAAGGCTTCAAGCTTGCTACGGACAAGATGTAAAGTGCATTAATTAAGTGGCATACTAGGTATCTAGAAATCTATTCACAGAAATCTCTAGAAGAGGGCTGAGGACTATTTGTACATTTTGATTCCTTTTCAGAGGCATCTTTTGATAGGAAGGTGCTACTAAGTTGGTTCCCACATGACTCCTTCATTTGTAAAGCTCTTGGTTTATCTGGAGGCATGTCTATTCCTGCCTGTTGTTAAGCATAATGTAATTATACAGGTTGAACCTCTGTGGTCCAGGGCTCTCTGGTCTGTCAGGAGAAGTTTAATAAGGACAAATGCGAAGTACTTCACTCAGGAAAGACCAATCGGTTTCAGAGGGCTCTCTGGTCTGTCAGGAGCATGGATGTTGCTGAATCAGAGAGCCCCAGTGGCTGGGAGCGGAGCCAGTCAGCAGGGCCAGTGGGACAGCAGAGCCTACGGGGAAGTAGGAGCAGCAGAACCAGTGAAGCCCAGTGGTCAGTGAGAGAAGCCCAGCAGGAAGGCTGGTGTCCTCCCCTTCCCCTCTTCTTCCTCCCCTCCCCCTGCCTTCTCCCTGACCAGTCACATCCTGAGAGTTGTGGACCAGTGAGATCCAACCCGTACTATGTCTGCCCCAGTTCTCCTCTTTCCCACACTCTGGGATGTACTGCTTACTTTACTTCCCATAAGTAATGGATGAGGAGAAAAGTGTGCAACAGAATGAGAGAATTCTTAGTTGATCATTTATTTCTGTTAGCAGTTTCTCTGAATTCAGACCTGGTAGTCTGTTAAATGATCAGTGTACATTGAAACTTTCTCTAAAGGGTGACTTAGACATACATTAAAGCTAATTTAATACATTATATAATGTTGTCTTAGTACTAATAGTGGGTGGCTGAATTGTTTCTGCAGCTATGGAAGAAGCATTCTATTAGCCTGAGCTGAAGGGTGGAGCTTAATTTTGGGTCTTCTAGCAACAGCATTGCACCACCTCCAAATTCCACAAGTGAGCGGGGAGGGAAAGGCTGGTTAGATCTTCTGCCTCCAATCTGAGGAATATATAAAGCGGACATAGTCTCAACAATTTTTTCTGACTTGTGTAAGAGTGAATCGGGTCTATTTAAATTTGGAAATATTAATCTCTCCTTCTAATATGTCTGACTTGTTAAATTTACATTTTAATTCAAAGATCATTTGTTGTTCCTTATTTAGAAAATAAACTGGGATGATTTAGCTGCCAAAAAAATACCAGCTCCATTTAAACCAGTAATCCGGGATGAGTTGGATGTTAGTAACTTTGCAGAGGAATTTACAGAAATGGATCCCACATACTCTCCTGCAGCTACACCACAGATTTCAGAGAGAATGTTTCAGGTAAGTGTAAAACATTACAACTTTGTTAAAATATACACTTCCCTCATGAATGGCAAGATTTTGTCCTTTTGAAGTGTGTTTTTATTGCCATTGAAACTATTGAAAGTTGAATACAGAATCAGTGGGCAGAATTAGATCTGTAATGTAGTATAGTGTAGTAACTTATGCTATGTTACACCTTTTATATAAATCTTTCTTGAGGATAGAAGTCTGAATTATTATTAGAGTTGATAGTTTAATAAACATCCAGTGTTACATTTGTGTATACTTATTATTTATAATAATAATACAAGATTCTCTCTTAACTACTGTGTTACATATGAAAAGCTAGATTTGATTAGTTTAATTTTTGGGCCCAGTCCTACCGCTAGGAAGTCACTGTCAGATCTCTTGTTGATTTTAGTGGCCTAGGATCAGTCAGGTCTATTACATAAGGAAATATGTTTGTTACTAGATTCTTTTAACCAAATACAGAAGCAAATTGATCTATTTGATAACTAAATTCTGGTTTTAGTCTGATAATTCATATGTACAAATTAGTCTTAATTGCTTTTGCTTTATATGTGGATCTCTCATTTCCTCGGGGGGGGAGGGAAGGGTCAGTCATCTCTAATACACTGTACCCTTACCTCAGACTATATGGAAAGCCTTCTGTGGATGCAGTGATATAAGTTTGTAGGGAAGAGTTAGAGACAAAATCTTGCAGATTTTGTGTCCTTCTGGTCCTTGGCTCCATAGAAGATGGCAATCCACCAATATACTGTCTGCAGAAAATAAACATAATTTAAAAATCTTTCTTATTGTGCTTCCTGCAATTGGAATTCTTCCTGTATGTAATGATTTGATCTCTTACAGTATTTCAAAATGGGAATAATTTTCAGGAGCTCCTAAAAGATATGTATTTAAAAGTCAGTGAGATTTTGATGCATTCGAAAATGTTGTCGGATACCTTGTAATTGTTTTTGGTCACGTATTTCATTTATTTCTTTGAATATATTTTCAGATGTACTCCTTAAAGTAGGTGTCTGTTATGAGCATAAAGGAATACCATGTTCAAATGTAGTTCATTGGGAAACTGAAAAAAAAAATTGTTATATCTGAATGATTTCTGTGGTATTAAATAACTTCCCATTTATCTGTTTTATAAAAGTTTAGTCTCACTTATTTTCCAAATGCACAAAATAAAGTGACTTAAAAAACAATATTGATCAAACAAACACTTGGAATATATAATGTGGGGGAAATTAGACTTTTAAAAATTATATATAATAAGGTCATTATTACAGCTGTAGTCTAGAAGATATTAGTATTTGCAGAAAATTAACCTTCCACATTTATGAGGTATCATACTATTTTAAGTGATTTTATTTGCTTATTTAGTTAGAGAAATCAAACTTCTATAGGTATATGACCCCCCAAAATACATGAGCATTATAATATTTCTGTGTTCTACAAATCACCTTCAAGATAAATATTTACTTCAAATTTTAAATATTTATTTGAATTTCTTCTAGATCTGGATATACTGAACATATTAGCTGAAGATAATCCCACTAATGATGCAGCGCGCTATTTTTGTTTTGCCATGTAAAGCAATTTTAGACATTTGCCCCATCATAATGTAAACTTGTTGATACCTTAACTGTAGATGTCTTGAGAAGCTAGCCAGTTTGAAGTGTGAACCTTTGTCACCAGTGCAAAAGAACTGAAGCTGTGAGTCAGATTTTTTTTTAGCATTTTCCCCAAAATCTCTTATTTTTACTTGTTTTTTTTTTTTAAGACAAGAAGATTGTATAAACTCTTTCAGGAAGACACTTTTCTATTGATTTTAAATTAAGTTGCTCTTTACTTTGAATGCAGTGGCATTTACCTATCTTTCAGTTACCTATCTTTTTCCTGTCTGCATTATGATACATTATATGGACAATCTCAAGCCTTTACATTTAACTTCTGTCTTTGTTTTGCAGGGGTATTCTTTTGTTGCTCCTTCTATTTTGTTTAAACGCAATGCAGCCATAGTAGATCCTGTTCAGTTTCATATGGGAGTTGAAAGACCTGGAGTTACAACTATTGCAAGAAGTGCTATGATGAAGGTAATGGCAGTATTTAAATAAACATAATCCTGGATAATTTGAAGATGCTCATGATTTATGAGGTAATAATCTTATTCTAGGCTAAATAAAATCTGTGCCCAGAGCCTGAAGTACTAATTAGTTGTTTAGAAGTAATGTATAGTTACTATGCAGTTATCCTCTTTGTCTGCCAATGGATCTTAAGTCAGTTAGGGTAAGTCTACACAGCAAAATTATTTCAGAATAAATTAATAAATAATTATTCCAAAATAACTATGCAAGCTTCTACACAGCCATTCCATTATTTCGAAATAATTTTGAACTAATGGATGACATATTCTGACTTCTGTAAACCTCATTCTATGAGAAATAACCCCTATTCCGAAATAGCTATTTCAAAATAATGTGTGTGTAGACACTCCACTCCTGCTATTTCGAAATAGCCCATGACCAGGGCCTTTCTAAGTTACTCCTCCCAGTGCCTCCTGGGGCTCTAAATCAAGATAGCTTGTCTACATTAAGGAAACCTGCCTTGGACTAATTTTGAAGCTTTCCTGTAGTGTAGATGTGCTATTTCAAAATAAGCTTTTTCAGAATAACTATTCTGGAATAGCTTATTTCAAAATTGATGCGTAGTGTAGATGTTGCTTTAGAGCATACAGATTACATGCCATACAGTTAAGAAGTAACTTGAGTCCAGCCTTGAAGAAATGTTAAAAAATACAGCATAGACACCATCTTACCAGCAGAAGAGCAATGAAAATATTAATAAGGCTTTTATCAACTGTCAAAATAATATACACCCTTGATAAATAGTTGGTTTTCAAAGCTGCTGTGGTTATTAACTCATATCTCTTCCTATGATATGTCTACTTCTATTCGCATAGATAGATATAGCTAGAAATAGATTCATAGATACTATCATTGTGGTATCTGTAAAACATCCCCAACACTATATATCTGAATATTTTTGTAGTGAAAGCTATTCTGAAAGTAACTTTAATTTCAGATTTTTTTCTGTGTGTGTGTATTGCATGCACCATTAGAGAAGTTTATGTATATAATTACACATTGTCAATTTATACTATGTTGTTTACCAAAATGAGATCTCTTTTAAAACTGCATTTTTGGAACTTTAAAGGCAGATGAATAATTATCACCAAAATGTATTATGTGTCTTTGACTGTGTCCTAAAAGTATTCCAGAGAACTCAATACAGTCAATTTCATAACAGGACTCTCCATTTTATCATCACTATGAACTGGATCTGAAAGAGAAACCACTGGGAGAAGGAAGTTTTTCCATCTGTCGAAAGTGTTCACACAAGAAAACAAGCCAAGAATATGCAGTAAAAATAATTAGTAAAAGGTATATTTACTAAAAACTTGTTTTGCTTAGTATCAGCAGTGAACTAGAATAATGCTCACTGAATTTTGCATGTAGAAAAAAAGTTGATTTAAAACATCACTTTTCTTTTGAGAATTCAAAAGAAAAGAATTCAAAATTCATACAGTAATATGAACTTTTTTAATTGAAAGTTTTTGGAACTTGGGGCTAATTGTGCTTCTTGAGGAATGAGATAAAGAGGAAACAAATCTCTTTTATACTTTTTTGTGCAAATTTGTTCCCAGTTGTTCTGTGTCCCCATTATGTTCCTCTCCTAGCAGACTACAGTAAAAACTGTTTTATGCTTTGTTACACTTTGGGCACGTCTAGACTACATGGCTCCGTCAACAGAGCCATGTAGATTTGTTTACTCGGGAACTGAAGCAGCAATTTAAATAATCGCTGCTTCATTTAAATTAAAATGGCTGCCTCTCTGTGCCGATCAGCTGTTTGGCGGCACAGCGCTGTAGTCTGGATGCTCCGCAGTTGACATCAAAGGCATTTGTCGACCTCCCTGGTAAACCTCATCCCGCGAGGCATAACAGGGAGGTCGACAAATGCCTTTGATGTCGACAACGGAATGACCAGACTACAGTGCTGTGCCACCAAACAGCTGATCAGCACAGTGCGGCAGTCCATTTTAATTTAAATGAAGTGGCGATTATTTAAATCGACGCTTCATTTCCCTTTGCCTACAACCCTAATCTACATGGCTCTGTCGACGGAGCCATGTAGTCTAGACGTGCCCTTTGAGAAATAGAACTAGTAGAATCTTGTTTGGAAGATTGGCAATTTGCCACATTTATTGTGAATGCAGAATTTATTTACTGTCTCTAGATACTATAATTATCCACCACCAATTCATACACACAGCTCTATGGATGGGACATAATTACCAGCCTCAAGTGCTCATTTTAGTCCACTGGCCAGATCCTGGCATTGATTTCTTTGTCAAGGGAGCCATCATTGGCTACCACACTGCTGAGATACCTAAACTTGTCCACTGTTTTTAACTCTGTTCCTTCAATAGAATTTGAAGCGGGGAGAGCAGCAGATCCTGGAGCAGGCTGAAACAATACCTCGGCCTTTCTTCGGCTGGTGGTCAAACCAAAGAGGCGAGTGGCTTTAGCAAACTTGTTGACGATATGCTGGAGATCAGATTCCTCATGTGCCATAAGTGCACAGTCGTCAGCAAAAAGGGCTTCAAGAATGTGCCTCTCAAGCATTTTTGTTCTAGCGTTCAAACGACGAAGGACAAAAAATGACCCATCAAGCGTGTACTTTATGTAGACTCCATGGTCCAGGTCCCTGACTGCGTGGCTGAGGACACACATAAAAAAGAGTTTGAATAGCACTGGGGCCAGCACACACCCTTGCTTCATGCCATTGGATATCTCAAATGGATCTGAAAACTCGCCATTCGAAAAAACGAAGCCAATCATGTCATAATGGAACAGGCATATAAGGTTGACAGATCTTCTCGGGCAGCCAAATTTTAGCAGGATAATCCACAGGGCTTCTCTGTTGACAGTGTCAAATGCCTTGGTCAGGTCTATAAAGATGGTGTATAGAGCCAAGTTCTGCTCTATGCACTTTTTCTGGACCTGATGAACAGCGAAGATCATCTCAATGGTGCTGTGGCCTGGACGGAAACCACACTGTAGTTTGGAAGGAAACCAGACTCTAGTAGGTTCTCCTCTAAGATGCTGGTGATCAGACAGTTAAGGATGACTCAAGCCAAGATCTTCCCAGCAGTAGAGAGAAGGGTGATGCCCTGGTAATTTCCACAATCATCTTTATTGCCCTTGTTCTTAAAGAGCGAGATGATTGTGGCATCCCTAAAGTCTTTGGGTATGTTGTCTTTTTCCTAGATGCTGGTCAAAATGCTGTGAAAGGCTTTGAGTGACACTGGTCCTGCTGCCTTGAAAATTTCTGCAGGAATACCATCTATCCCAGAGGCTTTGCCAGAGCTAGTCTGGCTGATTGCCTTTTTGACCTCATCCATTGTAGGGGGCAGGTCAAGACTGTCTATCATGGGTTTCTGAGGAATCTGATCTAAGGTCACAAGGTCGACAATGGAGCGCCTATTGAGAAGGTTGCTGAAGTGCTCTCTCCAACTATCATTGATGCTGCTCTTCTCCCTCAGGAGGATCATGCCATCTGCAGACAGGAGTAGTACTGTACTTGGCTTTGAAGGTCCATATACAACTTTGATAGCATTGAAGAAAATCTTGGAGTTCTTGGTATCAGCATAATGTTGGACTTTATCACCTTTTCTCTCCCATCACTCATCTTGCATTTTGCGAAGTGCTGTCTGCGCCTGACTCTGAAGGTGCTTGAAATGGTCATGTTTGGAGATTGAGAACTGGTCATTTTGCCATACCAAAAGTGTGTTCTATTTTTCCTCTAAGATCTTCATGATGGTCTTGTCATTGGTGAACTCTCTTTTTCAGTCCTAGTGTCAACTTAGCTGACTCTGTCACCAGGGTTTTGAACTGGTTCCATTTTTGTGTTGGGTCTCCAGTCAAGGGTCAATGGGACGTCAGTACGTCATCAAGGCAGGCTGCAAATTGCTCACGATGACCAATATGCTGCAGCTTCCCGATGTTGAAGAAAGGTCTGACAGCCTTGGGCTTCTTGCGATACAGTGGTGTGACGTGCAGCATAAGGACAGATCTGACGAGTCTATGATCAGTCCAGCACTCAGCTCCCCGCATGGCCCTAGTAGTCTTAACATCATGCATGTCCCGCCTGCAACTGATGACATAGTCAATAAGATGCCACTGTTTTGATTTCGGGTGTATCCATGTGGTCTTGTATTTATCGGCCTGCCTGAAGAGAGTGTTGGTAATCGTCAGATCATTTTCTGCACGCAAGCTCAGCAAGAGGAGGCCATTGGCATTCATATTACCAATGCCGTGATGCCCCAGCACCCCTTTCCAGTTCCTACAGTCCTTGCTGACTCTGGCATTGAAGTCATCCAACAGGCGAAGCTTGTCACTAGGAGTTGCTTTTGCAAGAAGATCAAGGTCCTCGTAGAAACTCTCTTTTGCTTCATCGCTGCTGGTCAGAGTGGGGGTGTAAGCGCTGATGACTGTGACGTGATGAAAGGGATTGAGGGGGAAGCAGAACTTGATCAGATGCTCACTGATGCAAGTGGGTAGGTTAGGAAGCTGGCGCAGAAGTGATGTCTTAATGATAAGTCTCACTCTGTAGATTCTGGCTTTGTTTCTGGCCTGCCTTTCCAGAAGAAGGTGTAACCTCCTTTCGGTTTGCAGATGGATCCTTTCTCTGCAGGTCTGGTCTCGCTCAAGGCGGCTATGTCAATGTTATAGTGTGCCAGTACTCTTATTATGAGGGCCGTTCTTCTCTCAGGCCTCATAGTATTGTCCCTGTCCAAGAGGGTGTGAACGTTCCATGCTCCAAATATCATCTTTCTTTTCACTGTTTTTCAACCACTGTGAGGGTAAAACTGCCAGCCATGGTATGCTGGCCAGTTTGGTTGGGACAAGCAATTTTTAGGACACCTTTTCTAGTCCCCTCCCTCATTTGAGGGTGAATAGTGCTACTCTTTAAAAGGCCTGCTCAGTTGCCTGGGATGTTGCCAAACTCCTCTGTTGTCCCGGGATCAGAGTCGAGTGACCAAAGTCGACAGGCTGCCTACATGCAGGTTTGGGACTACAGCTCCCAGTGGTCACCTCCCCCCATTGCTTCAGGACTTTGAAGTAATTTTTTGTAAACTGAAAGACACGAGTGAGCAAAGAACCTGTGCAGGAAAATATTTGAAGTGGAAAAGCCATTGCACAGGGGCAGTTCCACTCTCTTGGCCTAAGAAGCCTGGTTCCAGTGGTACGAAAAGTCATCACAGCTGGAGACTTCCTAGGCTGCAGTGGATGGCCATGGTGTCTTCAGTGCCTTGTCATGTCCTTCGCTCTCCACAGAGTGTTGCAGAACCACCTTCTTGGTCGTTGGATCTCAACTGTGTAAATGTTTCCAAACCCCCTTCTGTCCTCAGTGGGGCACTACTCTTCAACCACCTGATCTGGAGCACCCACAGGGACATTACTCAAAGAAAAGGTTACTCACCTTGTGCAATAACAGATTATTTATGTGTGTGTCTCTAAGGTGCTCCACTATCTACTCTCCTCCCCTCTACTTTGGAGTTTGCACTACAGTAGATAAGGACTGTGGGTGAGAGGGTCAGACTGCACTAGATGAGGTGCCAGAAGTACTACTATACGATTACTGCACATGCCCATCCGTGTCAGACACTGCTATAAAAAAAACTCAAATTAACTGTGCCAAGATGCACCAATATCTGAAATTGAGCTCCCTCAAAAATACACATCTTAAAGACCTTCAGTTATCACACAAGGTCAGTAATACAGCCTCTTTTCCCCCTTCAAATTAATCTACTTCACCTGTAATATTTGTAATGATTTTTTTCAGAGTCCATGTGTATCATTAATATAGTTGAGCATGGTGCTATTATTTAAAATTATTTTATCCAATATGGATTTCGTATTTCTATACCAACCTTGGAAGTAAGTCTTTGACATGAGGATGGAACAGATAGTGCCAGTGTTTCCAGACTAATGGGCATGTTTGAATTGCTTAGGACGGGGGTCGGCAATCTTTTCAAACCAAAGAGGCAAACTATATCAAAATTCAGAACAAGTGGTCAACAAAGAGCCATATAAGAATGCCTATTTGCATGACTGAAAATATACAAGTTAATATTATTGATAATTGACATTATTAATAATAGCATAAATTAAACATTGTACTCACAGACTTTATTTAATGGGACTTCTGCTGCTGCATCTTTTCACAGATTTCTTTGAAGTTTACATCATAACTGGTTAAATCCCGCTTCATACAGATTTTACATCATAACTGGTCAAATCCCGCTTCATACAGACACTCAGGCTGTCTTCTGTGAATTTTATGACAGGTGTTTGGGGATGTGGGGGTTCAAGAGTCTGGGTTGGTGTGGTTGAGGGGTTCAGGGCAGGGGATTTGGGTGTATGATACATTCAGGGCACAAGGTTGGGGCATGAGGGCGTGCAGGCGAGTTATGGCAGAGGACTGGGGATGTGCAGGTGATGTGGGGGCATGAGGGGCTCAAGGCAGGCGGTTCAGGTGTATGATGGGCTCAGGGTCGGTGGGGGGGGGGGGGCAGAAGTGTTACAATGCTGGGCCCCAATTGGCCAGGCTTCATTTTTAAATAAAGTAAAATATTACATTAAACATAAAAGGTTTTGGTATTGTCTTTCTTTATGGCAGCAGTGGGGAACCTGTTTTGTGTTGGGGACCACTGGCCCATAGGAAAATTAGTTGAAAAAAATTCCAAAAAACCCTAACCCTCACTGATGTGGCCTCCAACTGAAACACCTCACTCCCCGGTGCTCCAGCCCTATGGTGGGGGGAGAGGCTGGGAGGACTGAAGTTCAAGACCTCAGGCCAGATTTACTCTTCTGGGGTTCCAGGGTTAGTGGATTTTGTGGGTCCCCCAGGCTCTTGGGTGGGGCCAAAAAGAGGGATTAAGTGTGTGGGACAGAGTTGCCAGTGAATGGGATAGAGATGGGGGTGAAGAATCTGGGCTAAAAGTGGAGTGTAGGAGGTGGTGAGGGTGAGAGATCTGAGTGGGAGGTAGGGTTCAGGAGCAGGCTGGGAGTAGGGTGTCTAGCTAGGAGAAGGGGACAAGGCAAGGGAGTGGGCTGGGGCAGGCTGTCTGGGCAGGAGTGGGTTGGGGCTGGGTATCTGACCGGGGGCAGGGTGTCTGGCTAGGAGGCAGAAGTGGGCTGGGGGCAGGGTGTCTGGCCGGCGGGGTGTGTGAATGAGGGGGGGACACTTTCACGCCATGTCACAGGCACCATGTAACGTGGCCTCCTGCTACTCCCATTCACTGTAAGGAAGCCTCTAGGAAGGATTTGCTGGTCAAGTATCCTGGGGGAAGGAAAAAGGCAGCGCATGCAGAGCCATTTTTGGTTCCACTTGTTCCCCGCATGCCAGCGGAAGGAAAAGGGCAGAGCATGGAGCCATGCTTGTTCCATGCTAAGTGACTTGCCCAAGATGACTTAAACCCGTGGGACTCTCTTCCACCCCCTAAGGTTGTAGCACCAGCGCTGGCTCCCTGCTGCGGGGGGCTGAGTTGGCGCTACAGAAGAGTCATATCTGGCTTCCTAGTAAGTCAAGCCATAAGTTGCTGACCACTGTCTTATGGTGTTTGTAAAAACTGTGGTGCCATCAAATGTCTTGTACTAGGCAAAAGGGCAGTCTCAAGATAGAAAGTAATCTAGCAAAGTTTTTATTCTTAATATGCCAAGACATGACTGAATCATATATTTGTTTTATGTATTTATAATATTTTTCAGGGCTCAGTTGGTTGGTTCAGTTTGCTTGTTTGAAGGTGCTGATTTCTAATTACATATAACAAAATAGTAACTGTTCTAATATTCCAAAATTTGAATTAGGAAGAGTTTAGATGTAAAATTTTGACTTTGAAATTTATTCAATTACATTTGGTAATTTTCCAGAATGGAAGCCAACACCCAGAGGGAAATAACAGCTTTGAAACTCTGTGAAGGACACCCTAATGTAGTGAAGTTGCATGAAGTTTATCATGATCAGGTATTCTGAAGAAACTATAATAAGCATTTTCCAAACACATTTTGTTGTGTATAACTGTTGGCATAACGCTTATTGGTACTTTGTGCAGGTAGCTTTTTCCAAGTAATTGTAGCAAAAGCATTAAAGCCAAATGAGATTATACTTTTATTTATATAAAACAAAAATATATTTGTAGGAATCAGGTATTCCACCTTCCCTCAGTGGTATGAAGCTTAAATGATATTTGTAATATGCTTGGAAATCCTTGAATGAATGGTGCTACATAGGTACCAAAGATTATTTCATAATTTTGGTTGTTTTTAAATGAGACATCCCAAATAATTTCATAAACTACCAAATTTAAAAGCAGTTCCTTTATAAAAAAAATACTAGCTTGTGCTTCAGTTTTGTTTAGTTACAGAACTTCAATTATCCATTGTTCCTAAGCATGGCTCAGATGTAGTGAACAATGGTTCCCTCAGGGAAACCAGAGGAGCTTGGGGCCTACTCTAACCTCTGCTGGTGTAAGCTCCTCAGCAGATCAGGTGTAATGAAGCTGAGGTCCTCTTCGCCCCAGACAGGCGCCAAGGTCCCTCCTAAAATGTCCCCTTTGTCCCTTATGTAACTGTCTAACTGAGGGAACAGCTGGTAGGCATATGCAATACAAAAATTAAGGGTACGTCTACATTTGCTCCCTAGTTTGGAGTAGGAATGCAAATACAGTCAAATTAAGTAGCTAATGAAGCCGGGATTTAAATATCCCGTGCTCCATTAGCATGATCTCGCTGGTGCGCTAGTTCGAATCACAGCTGATTCGAACCAGGAAGTGCGCACCGGGACACGTTAGTTCGAACCAAAGCCCTTGGTTCGAACTACCGTTACCCCTCTTTTTTTTTTTTTCCTCTTCAGAAAAAGAGGAGTAATGTTAGTTCAAACCAAGGGCTTTGGTTCGAACTAACGTGTCCCGGTGCGCACTTCCTGGTTCGAATCAGCTGTGATTCGAACTAGCGCACCAGCGAGATCATGCTAATGGAGTGCGGGATATTTAAATCCTGGCTTTATTAGCTTCTTCGCTCATCTGCATTTGCATCCCCAGTCCGAACTAGGGAGCAAATGTAGATGTACCCTAAGATTCTGCTCCACAATCTTTAAGGATGGGGGAGATTTATATTTTCACTGTTTATTTGTATGTACTAAAATATAATCAGAATTCATTTTCAATGTCCTTTTTTGAGTTCTCAAGTGAAAAAATCTTTTTAAATTAGCTTTTTAGGGCAAGGTGCTATCAGCATCCCTAGGCTTTTGCTGGTCCATTTTTAACAAATTCTGAAATTTCAAATACGATTTCACTGTTTTTTCTGAATTTTGTTTTTATTTTTACTAATTAGTGGTGACTACTACAAATCTAATAAGGTTCTTCGTTGGGAATCTGACTCCAACTGGCCTCACTAATATTTGTCAGGCCATGTTTCTTTTTTGGCAAATTCCACTTATCAATAGGAGAATATTTTTTCCTTTTTCTTTGTCCCTTCCACAGTGTTCAAGGAGGGGGGAGAGAATTGTAGAAAAAGTAAGATGACAAGTAGGGTTTTTAGCTTTACTAATGGGGTATGTTCTCTGTGCTGAACTGCTCCTTCTAGTACTGCCTAATTCCATGGTTAGGGGACAGAGAAAAGCTAATATCTCTGTTACCTTCATACCTTTTTCACACTTATCTCATTTGTTTCAGATTATACACGTGGTAACTGTTGTTGACAGATAGGATTGTGTAGCAGGATTTACCAATCCAAAATCCAGCATTGGCAGAAGGGAGAGGGAAGTATTCCCTGTTTATAGGCAGTAAGGCTGATGACCCCCCTCCGCACAGCTAACAGAACTGCCAGACATAGACACATACACCAACAGTGGAGTGAAGTAAATAAGTCCAGCTACCAAAGTGGGAGAAGAGAGGAAAAGTAGATGTCAAAAGCCCTGGATCGCAGAGGAGCAACAGTCTATGCCATGCTGCTTCTGAGAAAGTGATAAAGAGACAAAAGGAGTCTGAAAGCCTTGTAGTTTAAGGAATGATATACTCCGTATAAATTAAGAATTCATGAACTGCTCTAATTATAATTGAATTGAAGAGGACCGGTTAAGACAAAGCTAGAGCCCTCAGACACTCTGAACCAAAAGCAGTTGACAGGGTGGAAATGACCTTTTCAGGCACTACTCATAACCAGTGTCTTTCAAGGCTGGCTGCCTAATCAGCCCCTTCTTACCTTAGACATCTACTCAAGTCTATGGTTCACTTTGCTTATTTGAAGGTGCTGATTTCTATGATTCTCCCCCATTTTACAGAGGCAAAGCATATATAAAAAGTCTCCACAGTGAGTGGTATTTCCCTATGCTGGGAATTCCTGTGCAAAGAGAATAAGGATTTCCCAACTGAGTAAACACCATTTATTTTATATCTTTACAATTTCTGTGAAGGATTGCCTTAGCATAGGGAAACCGTGATCCAAAATGACCTGCTGGCCTCCTGTTTGTGAGTCTCCTGCCCTACTACCACCCACAATAACCATATGCCGTTCATTGTTTTCTTGTAAATGCTATACTTTTCACGCTGATCTCATTTTTACATCCCCATAGCCTCTCTTTTTTTACCAGATCACCAAGCTTGACTGCTCTCCAGTTGATTTTCCATTACCAGTCTCAGATTTCCAGATGACTCTCCCATCTCTTATGTCTCTTCATGCAGTATGCCTCTCTTTCCTGTTCCCAGCCCCATCCACCTCATCTGCCTTCTCTAGTCTCTTGGTAGTTTTCCTTCCTTTATGTCCATCTGCCAAATACACTTCCTTCAAAATGCCCCCTTCCTCAACACCCTTTAATGCTATCTCTTCCCCAATATCCCACTAATCTGATGCTAAAGGTTAACAGACTTTGAAAAAGATAAGGAAATTCCCACAAAGAATTCTATATTTTTTTCCACTCACAAACAAACATGAAATTTACTTCAAATTCAGACTTAGTAAAAGTACAAAAAAGACTTCTCAAAATTTGTTTTAAGGCGTTAATCATATTGAAGTTGTAATTAAGTATGTGCATTTGAACATGATTCCATGTATTACAAATGGTTGCATGTTGGAAGAAAAAAGGAGTTTATTGTGAAGATGTGGAGTCTTGGGTTATATTGGTGATATGTTCGGATGACAAGGTGTGTGAATTATTATTGATCTTTATGTTAATATTTGCCTTCAGCAGCGACTTCATTGATTTAAATTTTTTTGTCTTAAAGGAAATATACAACATTCACTTTTAAGTAACAAAGTCTACTGTTTGGGAATATTAGATATATTGTGGGTCTAGTGATGGTATCAGCAGTGGCATGTATGCTTCTGTGCGGGAGATGGGATCTCAAGTATAATTAAGTGGCTATTTAAAACTTGAAATTAAACTTTTAGGAGGTTGTGAAAAGAATGAGGAACTTTTTCTGCTATTAATTTGATGTCTGACTAATTCTTGATGCATAATGATAAAAATGCACCCAGATGTGGAAGCAGGCAATTTTCATCACACCTTGAGCTAGATTCTACTCACTGATGTGTATAACTGAATCTCATTGAGATCAGTGGTAGCTGTGAGCATCAATGACTTCGAAGGGTAAGTCTGCACTGCAAGCTTCTTTTGGAATAAGCTTTTCTGCAAGATCTCTCCTGGAAAAGCTTATTTCGAAATAGAGCATCCACACTACAGGGAAGCCTCAAAATTAGGATGAGATAGGTTCCTCTAATGTGGACAGGAGGCATTGGGGAGGAATAACTTTAGAATGGTCCTGGTGAGGAGTGATTTTTACATAGCCATGGAGCATCTACACACCCTTTTCTGAAAAAGTTTTTCAGAAAAGGGCTTATTCCTCGTGGAATGAGGCTTACTGCCATCAGAATAAGCTGTCTGTTATTTCAACTTTCTGTCAAAATAATGCATTTGCAGTGTGGACACTAGTATTGTTTTTCCTCAGTGTAGAGGCACCCTAAGAGTAGAATTTGGTTCTTAATAATTTTAGATTCATGAAACAGGATTATAAACAGAAACCTTACTCATCCTGACCTCTGGAAAGACGGAACCTATTGCAGTGTTAGTATGTTGCTGGTGGAAGGCAAATGTGTTGTGATGCAGAACAAATCAAAGAAATTATGAGTACAGGCAGTCCCCGAGTTACGTGGATCCGACTTAGGTCAGATCCGTACTTATGAACGGGGCTTTTCACGCCCCGGAGGACGCGGGCGGCGGGACCGAGACGTGCCGCGGTGCAGCCGCCCGGGTCCTCCGCCGCTTTGCTCCGCGTCTCTCCTCCGCCGCTTTGCTCCGCGTCTCTCCTCCGCCGCTTTGCTCCGCGTCTCTCCTCCGCCGCTTTGCTCCGCGTCTCTCCTCCGCCGCTTTGCTCCGCGTCTCTCCTCCGCCGCTTTGCTCCGCGTCTCTCCTCCGCCGCTTTGCTCCGCGTCTCTCCTCCGCCGCTTTGCTCCGCGTCTCTCCTCCGCCGCTTTGCTCCGCGTCTCTCCTCCGCCGCTTTGCTCCGCGTCTCCCTGGTCTGCTGGGGGAGGGACCCCACAGCAGACTAGGGAGACGCGGAGCAAAGCGGCAGCTAGTGCCCCCCCCCCCCCCAGCAGACCAGGCTTTTCTCGCAGATGCCTGTGGTAGAGCAGCTGGGGTGCTGCTGGATTGGTCCAGTAGCGCCTAGGAGCTGCTCTGCCCCAGGCGTCCCCAAGTCAGCCGCTACTGAAACTGACCAGCGGCTGACTACAGGAAGCCCGAGGCAGAGTTGCTCTGCCCCGGGCTTCCTGGAATCAGCTGCTGATAGCCAGCCGCTGGTCAGTTTCAGCAGCGGCTGAATCTGGACACCAGTTCCGACTTAAGTACAAATTTAACTTAAGTACAAACCTACAGTCCCTATCTTGTACGTAACCCGGGGACTGCCTGTAAAACGTGCTGTTATGCTTTGCAGTTTAAAAAATTCTACATTTCCATCTCATTCTGTTTTAAATTATATAGCTTTTGTATTTTTATAAACACAGTTGTGTAATATTTTAATAATAAACCATAAAAAGTTAAGATCTAATTATTAATATTTAAAATCTACAAAGTGTTGGTGTATAATCTAAATTTTCTAAGGTCCCACATTAAACTGGTTTTTTGTTCTCTAGCTTCACACATTTCTAGTAATGGAACTTCTGAAGGGAGGCGAATTGCTTGAACGCATTCAGAAAAAGAAACACTTCAGTGAGACAGAAGCCAGTTACATCATGCGCAAACTTGTTTCAGCAGTGAGCCATATGCATGATGTAGGAGTAGTCCATAGAGATCTGAAACCTGAGGTACAGTGGGGCATGATTATATCTGTTGTTGGTCTAATACCTTACTTTCACATTCTTTTAACAAGAGGCATATCCCTTCACAAAGAGACATAGTTAATTTAACAGAATAGGTACTGTAATTTGTGTGTTTTAATTGCCTTTTTTGATTTTTATTTGGAAATGAAAGTTTCATACTTAATTACTATCTGATGTTATTTGTTTATTCCATTATGCTATGCAATCAGTAGTAAAAATAATAAAATACTCAATTCAGATAACTGTTTTATAAACCTTAATTTTTAATTTTATAAACCATCTTAATTCCACCATGTCAAGAACAACTCCACATGATGAGAAAAAAAATCTATTTTTAATATTTAATTTTGTCTGTTAACCATTTTATTATGCTCTGATCATAAATATATGGGGTTTTGCACAACATAGGTACAAAGTGGTACTAAGTTTGTTTCAGTGCGTTTACTTCACATTTCTATATCTTGTTTTACTTCACTGTAAATTTCTGTATTTGAAATGTGTGGTTTTTATGTAATTACAACATCCTTGTGCAGGTTTTACCTTCATCTTTACTCTACTTTAATACAGTTTTCATATGATAAATAACATAGGGCAGAAGGTAATGGGTCTGATAGTTAAAAAGGGGCCTGTGGGATTAGCAGGCATCCAAAGTAAAATGGCTGCCTGCAGTCAGAGATCTGAGGGAGTAAGAAAGTAATCTGCCTCCATCAACCCACTACAGCGATAGGCAACCCAGACTAGTGAGTCGGTCTCAGTGAGCTGACGATTGTCGTAACTAAGATGATTTCCTGGGATACAGCAGTTTTGCTAACTGTGCTTGCATACCTAGAATTTATGGGCTGTACCGATTGAACTGTAGAAGCACTTTAATTGGATGAAGAGGTAGCGCACAGCTCTCACGGTCAAAGTGTGAAATCAATGTGCTCCTCAGTTCACGTGCATATCACTTTAATAATTGAGGCAGGAAAACAAAATGTCTTGCAGGCTACACATAGCCTGATGGGCCAGGTCGCTCACGACTACACCAAAGCTATTAATCTATACTAAAAAGCAGAGCACCACAGAGAATGGATTCTCAGGGGAAAAAAAAAGGCAGGGGGGAGAGGAATGGAGGGTTTAAAAAATACCTCATTCAGAAAGGTGTTTCCAGCTCCTAGTGTGAAAATACTAAAGGAGAAAATCCAGTCTGGTATGTAAAAAATTTTAATTGCAGATTTGTTAAATCTGAGCTTTCTAGAAGAGGTGAAAATTGATAAAAATTCATGTGGTCCTTTCCCCCCACTTGGAGCTTATAATCAATCCAGAAATTTGATTGTGAAATTTCATGAACATCAACAGAAAGATTTAATTACAGAAAGAGCAAGAGATCATTGAAAGCTTATGCCCAAAGATGACATACTGCAGTTTTTGCATCGCCACTCTGTGTTAACGTTAAAAAAGAAAAGCTGAACAACCCTGGAAGGACTTCTTGAGAGTAATCAAAAATGAAATCTTATGCCCAAATAAATCTGTTAGTCTTTAAGGTGCCACAGGACTCCTTGTTGTTTTTATAGATACAGACTACCCCGCTGTATATTTATTGAGAATGAAAAGTTTGATAGTAACTATATTAATATTATAAAGAAAATACTGTGAGGTTTGTTGTAATTGGGATGATCATTGTAAAGCATAGACACATATAGGACAATAAGGGTGGAGTGAGTATGGAGTTGTTGCTGGGGTGGAGAGATTGGAGAACATAGAAAGGAGTTGGGGAGTAGAACTATGGGATTCTGTGTACATCCTTCCATGTGACTCACATAATCAAATGGCAGTCTATCCCTATAGTCCCTGCTCTATTTCTCCCCTATATCCTGTGCCTCCTCACCTGGTTCAGCATTTAGAGTGCTGTGAGGAACATAGTCTCTCCCCACCCCTCTCTTGAACTGGCTGCCCTGTGAGCTACAGCAGCCCCCTGATGGACAAAAGAAGTAATTGCAATACCTGTGGCAGAGTATATTTCTGCAGAGGGAAAAAAAATTGAGAAACATTAATTCTGTGCATGTATGCACAGAATTCCTCCAGGACTAATAGAGGACTTGGCCTTTGATAGTCAGCTGCATTTTTTCCTGACAAAACAGATGTGCCCCTTGAGGGTGTATACACTGGCAATGCAGAGCAACCATTCTGGCAGACAGCAGCAGCAGCAACAATACTGGCCACAATGCCCCTTTCAGCTGCCTCTCAAACCCCCCCTCCCTCAAGAGAGCAGGACTACCCTAGGAAGGGGCATCAGTCTCAAAGGTGGAGTCATGCTGGTCTTGGATTTGGCCAGCACATTCTCCTTCTTCTAGTGCCCTCCCCGTCAGGTGCTCATTTTGACTTGCTGGTACAGAGCAGTGGTATAGTCATCATAACTTTGTCATGTCCCATTCCTTCCATTCAGGGGCAGTGTGACGTATCCCACGTGTCACTCCCACGAGTAGTTAATTAAATCCGTGTATTTCTCTTTGCATGGCCCGTCTTCATTTTCCGCACCCTTGGTATGAAGGGAAGGGGGGCCTGGGCCCACCCCCACTCACTAGCCCCAGCCCAGGGCCCTGAGGGCTCGGATCCAGAGAGACCCAGCCTGGCTGATCGCAACTCCCCAGTCCCTCCAGGCTCTGCCCTGGGCCGATACCTTCCCCGTCCTTCCCGGGTCCACCCCACGGCCGAGGCCCCGGACGGCTTCCTTACTGCAAGCCTGCGGGCCGGAGGTGCGTTCAGTCCATTGGACAGGGGTGGTTCCTTGTCTGCGAACCTCTTTTTCGTCCCTGCTGCCTGGACCTGTGGAGGAGGAGGCTCTCTTCCTCCTCCCCTCTCTCAAGTGCGGGAGCCATTTTAAAAGCCCCGCCAGGGCCGTGACCCCGTCTGCCCCGCCTCTCGCGTCTGCACCACTTGGTGTTGCCGTGGCAACGTTCCTGATACACAGGCAACTTCTTGTTGATGCCGGGCATCCCATTTCTCGGCTG